CGTTCTTATTGCATTACTCTATTTCTCCATAAACTTAATACACTAGATGCATGTTGGATAGCGGTCGATGTGTGGAGTAATAGTAGTAGACATAATCATTTTGGTCTACTAATCTTGGACGTGATGCCTATATACACGATCATTGCCTTGGATATCGTCATAATTATTTGTTCTTCTATCAATTGCCCAATAGTAATTTGTTTACCCACCGTATGTTATTTTCTCGAGAGAAGCCACTAGTGAAATCTACGACTGCCGGGTCTATCCTTTATCATATTTTTTTCAGATCTATTATTCCAAGAACCGAAAAATATCCTGCCACACTTTTTCTTTACTTATTTTATTTCGTGTTTTATTTAGATCTATTTATCCAAACTTATACAATTTAATCTATCTTTTTACCGAGGAGGGATTGACAACCCCTCTTACGCGTTGGGTTGCAAGGATTTGTTCTTTGTGTACAGGTACCATTTACATAGTGTTGCTTGGTTCTCCTACTGGATTGATAAGCTTGGTTTCATAACTGAGGGAAATACTTGTCATAATTGTGCTACATCATCCCTTCCTCTTTGGGGAAATACCAATGCAGATCTAAGCCACGTCATAGGCACTCGCTAAACTTGTAGGTTTACATGATATAATATAAAGAAGATATACCCGTGCTGACTTGGTTAGTTTGTGTGAATCTAAGAAAGATTCATTTAGTAACTTCCAGCTTGCTAACATTAACCCTCAAGAAAATCTCCTGGCATTGGTTACCAACTATTGGGACTACTTGAGGTATCTTGGTGGGTATTAAACATGATATGTTTGAGGTAATTTCTTTTGATGCTTTAGAATTTTATGTTGCTTGTCTCCTTAAGGACAAGAAAACTAAAATCACTTGGAGATTTGTGGCAGTGTATGGTTCAACTTATGATAATTTCAAGCTTGAATTTATTAATGAGCTCCACAACACTATGGATGCTTGGTTGGGTCCAACCATTGTTGGGGGTGACTTTAACTTGGTTAGGATCGAGTAGTGAATAGAAGAATACCACGTTAGTTAACTTTCACTGGGTTAATATGTTCAATGATTGGGTTAATAAATATGGCCTCATTGAACTGAAAAACTCTGCTAGGAAGTTTACTTAGGCCAACAACTAGGATAATCTGGTTATGGCAAACACTGAAAAAGTTTTTATAACTACTTTCACTGGGAAAGTATGTTCTCTTCTGTCCAACTTAAAGCCCTCCGTAGGGTGCGTAGTGACCACACTCCTCTAGTGTTTGATACTGGTGCTATCCAACCACCAAAAAACAAACAATTTAGGTTTGAAAAATGGTGGTTGGAGGTTGAAGGCTTTGAGGAGGTGGTCAAACAAATGCTAGAATGCCCCCTCTTCTATTAAGGGCCCTTTAGAGAGGTGGCAATTCAAGATTAGGAAACTTAGACGAATGTGTAGGGGATGGAATGCTAATTATGAGGCTGCCCAACATAGAACCAAGCAACAACTGGTTGTTGAATATGAACTTTTAGATATTGCTTCTGAGACCAAGACATTATCTCCACCTTCCAAAGCTCATATGGATAAAATAGCTCTGGATCTCCAAAATATTTGGAGATTGGAGGAGATAAAATCTAGACAGAGATCCGGAGAGAGAAATATTCTAGAAGGAGGGAGAAACACTTCTTATTTCCATGCTTTGGCTAACCAAAGAAGAAGAAAGAAGCAAATCCCGATGTTGATTGTTCGAATGGTCATATTGAAGATGCTGAGGGTATTATTAAGATTGTTGTAGCTTTATAAAAAACTATTTAGTAAAGAGAGTACTCTTGATATCTCTTTGGAGATTAAGTTTTGGGACCCTTCTGAAAGAGTGTCCATTAATCATAACATGAAGCTTGGCACTGACATTTCAGAAGAGTATGTGAAAAAAGTTGTGTTTGGGCCCTATGCTGGAGGAGCTCCTCGCCCTGATGACTTCCCATTCCTATTTTATCAATACTTTTGGTCTACTATAAAAAGGATCTCATGTTGATGGTGATGCCTGGAATAATGATAATTTGGATCTGCATAGGCTATACTTTTCTTTATTAACCTTGATCCCCAAGGAACCTGATTCTAGCACCATTCAAAAATTTAGGCCAATTTCCCTGACCAATTGTTGCTTTAATTTTTTTGCTAAGTGTGTTACTAATCAGTTGGGAGAAGTAGGTGTTAGCTTATCTCCCAAAACCAGACTACCTTTATCAAAGGTAAGTTCATTACGGAGAGTGCAGTGACAGCTCATGAAATTGTTCATGATGTGGTTGTCAATAATAAAGAAGGGTTTGTTCTTAAGTTTGATTATGAGAAGGCTTATGATATAACTAGTAAAGAGTTCCTCTTAGATATGATGTACCATAGAGGGTTTAGCCCCGAGTGGATGAAGATTGAATCTCTTCTTTACAAATGTAGTTGTTAGGATTAATGATTGCAGTAGTGAGTTTTTGAGACTTCTAAAGGGGTGCGACAGGGTGATCCTGCCCCCCTCCTCTTCAACTTAGCTGCTAATGTCTTTAGCAAAATGCTGATTAAAGCTACTAAAAACAAGATGCTAACTGGGTTGATGTCTAACATTTTTCCTCAAGGAGTCATTAGTCTGCAATATGCAGATGACACCCTCCTTTTCTTGGAAAACAACCTTGAATCTACTAAAAACTTAAAATGGTTGATTTCTTGCTTTGAGCAACTGTCTGGGTTGAGGATCAACTTTCATAAGTATGATCTAGTTCCAATCAATATTAAGGAGGAAGATGCCCAACTTGTGGCCCAAGCTCTATCTTGTGGCCTAGGGTCCTTTCCCCTTAAATATTTAGGACTCCCTCTACATCACTCCAAACTCGGGAGAGAAGACTTGCAACCTGTGGTTGACATGGTCCTTAAAAGAGATGCTGGTTGGAGAGGGATACTATTAGGATATGATAAGAAGTTAGTTTTGGTCCAGCCTTCTTTAGCTAGTATCCCTACCTATCTTATGAGTATGATCAAATTCCCAAAATGGGCTATTAACCTAATCAACTCTCAAATGGCTCACCGCTTCAGGGATAATTATGAGGGGCTTCATGGATACCATTTAGCTAATTGGGGGCTTTTGACCCAGAAAAAGCAATATGGTGGGCTAGGGATTCCTAACATGGCTGAGAAGAACCTTAGCCTCCTTGCTTCTTGGGTTTATAAATACCAGTTAGGGGACCAGAAGATGTGGAAACAGATTGTTGATTCTAAATATAGAACCAAATAACCCGATTTTTTCTCCTGTCCTGATAACAACCCCCCCCCCCTTCTCTGGAAAGGGGTTTTGTGGGCTGGCAAAGCTGCAAAAGTGGATTTCCAATGGAGAATTGGCAATGGTAGGAGAATCAAGTTTTGGGAACATCACTGGTTTGGGTCATGCAGCTTGGCCATTCAATTTGGGAGTTGTATAGTATTGCAAATGAACATAACATCCCTATTGTTGATGTGTGGGATGGGGTAGATCTTAAGATCACCTCTAGGAGATGTGTGGACAATAGATTACTGTTTTTATGGTTTGACCTAGTTAGTATTGCTAAATCTATCAAAATTTCTGATGAGGATGATGCTTTAATATGGAAGCTTGAATCTAATGGTAAATATTCTGTTAGATCTATGTATGTCATGGTTAACTTTAGAGGCATTAGCCCTGGTTTTTATTCTTGATATCTGGCATATTCATGTTCCTCCCAATGTTCACATTTTCTTGTGGCTGCCGGCTCATAACAAATTGCTGGTGAAGGGGAACCTAGTTAAAAGACAACAGTTAAATGATCTTACTTGTTTATTTTGCCTTTCGGCGATGTGCCTTCAGGGGAAGGATGCGGTCCCGTCGACTACGAAGACGTCTGTGACGACTTTGTCAATTCAAGATAATGTGTCGGCTGAATCTCTCGGAGGTGCTTATAGGGGTAGGGTGAGTGTATTTGTATTTGTATGAGTGTTTGTGTTTGTACCGTGAAAAAAGAAAATATACCGCAACATGCAACGCTGCCGCGCAACCTGATATAGTTGTCTCGCAATACGCAACGCTGCCGCGCCACAGGTTCAGATTCGGTCCAGTGTGACGGTAGAAAAGTCATGGTGGTTGATGCAGCTACCACCGCTGCGCCGCCGGCAAGAACTTCACGTACGACACGCCTGAGCACAGGCTAGCTAGCCGGAGAACGACTCCTGTAGGCTGTAGCCTCTGACCGGCCGGCCAGCCCTGCCTGCCGGTCCGACCGACGTGACAAGACAAAACACGTCGCCTGCCCTGCCACGATCGACGCTGAAAGCAAGCAGGGCAGCGCATCTCCACATGCATTCATGCATGAGGCGTACGACACGACGTGCACGACGCTTTGGCCGGCCCTAACGTACACGAGCGCTGCTACACGGACGATAATTTTGTGCCCGACCCCTGCACGATACTACATGACAGCACCATCAGCGTTTAGGCAATTGTTTTTTATTCAAAAGCTGAAGCTAGCGTAGTTGGGAAGGAAATATCGGCTGCAGATCGTGCATACGGTGTCGTCCGTGAAGCAATATCCAACGTACACGGGATCGCCCAGGACAAAACACTGCACTCTGTGATTCTCGTCACACACCACGATGCAGGATTTCTCTCCATCCTCTTGCCCGTGCCAAGAAATCAAACCACACAATTAATAATAACCAATAATAATGGAACTACAGGACTCACGTCTCAGCTAACGATCATTTCTCCCGAGCACAAAGGAAGCTCTTCAGTACAGTTGAAGAAACCACTCTCAGCCTACAAAGTCTACACCCATCCATTCACGTACCGCTCCCTAACCTCCCCCACTCCCTAATACTACCGCAGCAGGATGAAGCCATGATGCGTCCCTGAGAAGAAAAAAAAAGGACCAGATTACCAGTCGATATTGAGTTCAGGTTCAGGGGTTTGCAAGAAAAGTGGCCTGAGAGAGAGGCTCACCTCACCTGGTCACCGGTTTCTTATTTTTCATATTCGAGAGACTCCACCAGTACATAGACAGGCTTCCCGTTGAGCTTGTAACAATCCTGCATGGGATCGAGTTGCTGTCTCAGTGACCAGATTCAAGCAACAATCTTTTACGTACAAGCTAGTTGGATAATTCGCTAATTCAGATACACTCAATGGAAAACTTTTCAAGCAACTGCAGTGACAGGTGTAAGATTGACAGCGAATACTAAAGAATGGTTCCTGATGCTTCTTTCACATTGTCCTCAGACATTTGATGCCACCTTCCGTTTCAAAAAAAAAAAAGACATTTGATGCCACATGATCTCTATCCGCTATCTAGTAAGACGCATCACTTATTCTGCAGCATGAGCACCACAGGATGCACCATCGCTAAATAAAATGCAAGTCCCCATTCCTTGACCAATCCTGGTATTATTTATTCATGATAGTGCAATTGCACAAAGCTAGTAAGCAACACAGCCCCGTTTTGTGAACAAATATACAGAGCATATGTTTTGAAGAGGAGGAAAAGGGAAAAGAGATGCCCCATTCCCAAGTTGTTTTGCTCAAGCCTATGGATAACCAGCTGGTACTTAACACTCATACGACTATCTCAGCTGTGATTGTGAGGAATAGACATGGTCGGTCATGTTTGTTCATTGACGCCACTGTCTGAAGCTACATGGCGCCAACAGGCTATATGAAGTGTGCAGAGCAGACAGTATCTGAGCAAACTAGTAAAGGTGCACAGGCCAAGAACTATGCTATTCAAGTGGTCAAATCCGGTGACAGTGTAATTTAGGCTTCAGACAGAGCAGTAAACGAATGAGAATTGCTAACAGATACGAGTTGTGATAACTAAGAAGCAGAAATATAATGTGTGCATATATCAGATTCAGATGTCAATCGACACTTTGGATAGTATATCTGATTTATGTGTAAAGAAAGACGAAATACCTTAAATTTAGGGAGCCCAATGAGACAAGCACACTCAACGACATCAGCTCCAGCACGTTCTGGAAATCAAACAGCTCGGTAAGAAAAAGTATTCAAAAAACACCTATCTACTTTTTACCAGTGCAAGATAAAATTCATCTAGAAAGGTATCCAAAAGGCAGTATAGCGTTCTAGAAACAAGGTTGTGCAAAATACTACTCCCTCTGTTTGTTTTTATAAGACGTTTCAGACAGCTTGCTTTCTACTGTTTTAAACAGTGTCTGAATGTCTAAAACGTCTTGTAAAAATGAGCAGAGGTAGAATTAAAAAAGACGCATGCTTAATGGCATGACAGCGTCAGAGTAAGTGCAGACAAGGAAAGGTGCAGCTGAAAAGATAGTATAGCATTCTGGGCGAGAGTACTTGATTCTGTGATTGAAGCCTCCAAAACATGTAGTGTCAACATCAAATCATGCTTCCACATCAATTTGTACGAGGACATATCTTCAAACAAGATTCTCTCCGGAGAGATCTTGCCAAGATATAAAGCATGTCCCATTACGGAAGATTTCATACTAATTAATATGTATAACTAGGCCAGTATCGGTTATCACCAAGCTGTGTGGAGGCCTGCCATCCGTACATGCGAATCCAATTAGTCTATTACTCCCTCCGTCCGGGAATACTTGTCATCAAAATGAATAAAAGGGGATGTATCTAGATGTATTTTAGTTCTAGATACATCATTTTTTGTCCATGTTGATGACAAGTATTTTCAGACGGAGGGAGTACTACATTCCAGGGATTATTTAAGCTGTTTCTGACAGTGTTGATGCCGTTGTGGATTTGAATAATTAGGGTGGTAAAAGATGTGCAGGGTGTGGTACAGTTTCAAGACAAGTGATACTCCACTTGATAAGATACTTGATCTGATGCTAGGCAACTACCGGTCTGCCATGCCATGCACTGGCGCCTTCTGCAAATGTGTCAAGGGCTAACAAATCGAGAATTGACTGATCAACTGTTACCCCGGTCAGTGAATAATGGGCTCTGAATCTGAAGTTGCACAAGTAACAGACAACTAAATAAAAAGACATACATACGAATTACCCAAGGAAATAGTAATCAACTGCAAGGTATTTTGTCTGGATTCCTTACCAAATTCAAACAGTTATCCCCTCTGTCCATTAATCAAGATGTTTTTTAGACTGGCCATGAGTCCAAAAAAAGAAATGAACAGAGGTTGTACTATTTAGTGGCATTTGGTTTGAAATTACCATGCAAGTACACGTCAAGACTCCGCCGTTTTTATTTATTCTGCATATTAGGTTTTACCTAAGTCAAACTTTATAGTGTTTGACCAAGTTGATGGGCAATTACATAAATTTCATCATAATGAATACAAATGATATGAAAATATATTCGGACTCTAATGATATTGATTTACTATTATGGATGTCAATATTTTTAATACAAACTTGATCGAAGTAAATGAAAATTGCGGGAGTACTTGAAAGGTATGCGATACGTACCCAGAAGATTTATAGCAGCACAAAGTGTCCCACCAGTTGCAACCAGATCATCAACGATCAAAACACGCTCACGGGGGATAGCACCAACATGCATCTCCAGACAATCAGTTCCGTATTCGAGAACATAGGTCTCAGAAATCACCTCACCTTTCATGTTCGTAAAAGAAAATGTTAGCACATCCGTGTGCTGCAAAAATACTTCAGTTTTATTTATTTTTTGCGGTTTGCAGAAAAACTTTAAATTGACCACACAATATCTTGCCTAAACCCTGCCACCAACCTCTAGTTTTCTTTTTCTGTCTTTAGTGTTTGTATTTTGGTTTTCGCTTGGTTTTCCTCAAATTAACTTGGCAAATCTCTTCTTCTTATATGAAAATATGAAATGGCAGAGCTCCTGCCCATGCCTCGGCAAGCATTTAAAAAAAGTAATAGAACATGTGCTGGACACTGCAAAGAGAGATGGTTCCGAATGCCTGCAAATTTCTTCAGGTTTCATCATGCGCTGCTGCATAAAGGGACTGACAACGTTTTTTTTATGTGTGTGTGTAAAGTTTATTTACTTCCTGATTACCAGTTTTACTTGCTTGCATGAGAAAAGATAGAAACAAATTTACTCACTACTGCCTCCGTTCTTGGTTTATTGGTCTTCTTAGTATTTTGCGCGAAACTTTGACCGTAGATTTAACTAAAATAGTTATAATGCATGTCACGAAAAAAAATATCAACGGATTCATATTTGAACATAGTTGTCAGTGTTATTATTTTTTATTACATGAATTAACATTTATTTTGTTAGTTAAATCTAAAGTCAAAATTTAGCACAAAATACGAAGGGAACCAGTAGCTGAATAGACAAATGGCAACAGGTTCCAGTGGCAATTACGTATGCAGAAAGGAACCTTGTCTAGGGGAGCTCACCTGGGAGTTTCTTAGGCTTGCGCAACGGAATGAACTTGGCACCGACGGCTAGTGCAATCGCGGGGCCAAATATAAATCCTCTCGCCTCAATCCCTGGAGAATGGAAACAAACAAGTCGGAAGAATGCTCCTTCACTTCAGCTTACACATCCAAAAGAATCTAACACATCCGAAATACTCCCTCCGTTCCTAAATACTCCCTCGGTCCGAAAATACTTGTCATTAAAATGGATAAAAAGAGATGTATGTAGAACTAAAATACATTTAGATACATCCTCTTTTATTCATTTTGATGACAAGTATTTACTCCCTCCGTCCGTAAATACTTGTCCTTCAAATGATTGTATCTAGACTTATTTTAGTTATAGATATATCCATTTTATTCATTTCAAGGACAAGTATTTCGGGACGAGGGAGTATTTGTCTTTCTAGAGATTTCAACAAATGACTACATACGGAGCAAAATGAGTGAATCTACACTATAAACTATGCCTATATACATCCGTATGTGGTAGTCCATTTAAAATCTCTAAAAAGATAAATATTTAGAAACGGAGGGAGTAATCTTTACTAGAGTAAGTAGTATTTTAGTATTACTAGTATAATAGTAATATGATGACGCACAACATAATAACTCCATTTAGTCGAGAATAAGATACTCTAGTCTAGTCTACTAGTAAAGACTAGAAGAACACCCGTGCGTTGCAACGGGGCCACATTAACTTTAAGAGTTCAATATTAATATTCTCATACATATCAAGTGACATTGGCGACCTTTTTTACCATCAAATCCTCACACACACACTCTCCCTCCCTCTTCCTCACTCTCTCTCCCCCCCTCTCTCTCTCTCTAACACACACACACATATCCATCTTATTGGATACGGGACCATAATCCATCTATGTCACACACACACACGCTAGTGCATGCATAACAACATGGACTATGTGTATTATATTTGCCACCACAACCGACGGAATTAATTTCATGTAAATCGGCCAGCCATAACTCCAAGAATACGCGGAGGAGGTGGCCCGGGTTGGCGCCGTCCGGCACGGGCCACGAGCCCGCTTCCAAGTGTGTCTGCGCGCCGGCCACCCACGCCGGGTCCTTCAAGTGCCGTTTCCACCGCACCAACTCCCAGGGCCACGGCCAGGGCCAGGGAAGCCGCCCTTCTTCGCCCCCTTCACCGGTCGCGGTCAACGCGGTGCCACGGCACCCGGCCTCGCCGTCCTCGTCCTCCGGTACTGTCGCAACCCAGTGACGCAGCCCAAGCATCGGCCTTGAGAATCAAGAATGCTCGACAACGGAGAGGGAATGGAAGATCATATACATGTCATAAGAAAGAGAGTTTATTTACTGCTCCCTCGATGTATTGTTTTCTTTGTTTGGAGATTGATTACCATTCGTGAGTTAAGGTAAGATTAATGTGATTGAGCGATTTTTCTGAAAATGAAATATTTGTTTTCTAATTAATGTGATTGAGTGATTCAAGGTAAGGTTAATTAATTTAGATTTGATCTTTAAAGATTGTTCGTGATTGATTCTACATTACTAAATAACTTGCGTCAGTATGGAAAGTTCTGATCTATTCAGATTTCTTTCGTTGTGTGAGAGGGTGACGCGAAAATAAACCGATGAAGTGGTGGGAAGGGACGAAAAAAAATCTACGAAAAAACCAGCAAAGGTGGGAGGAGGTACCAAAAAAACCCATGGGAGGTGGGACGAAAAAAAACCCTGGAAGCGACCCCCTTCACCGGTCGCGGTCAACACGGTGCCGCGGCACCCGGCCTCGCCGTCCTCGTCCTCCGGCACCGTCGCAACCCGGTGACGCAGCCCAAGCATCGGCCTCGAGAATCAAGAATGCTCGACAACGGAGAGGGAAGGGAAGATCATATACATGTCATAAGAAAAAGAGTTTATTTACTGCTCCCTCGATGTATTGTTTTCTTTGTTTGGAGATTGATTACCATCCATGAGTTAAGGTAAGATTAATGTGATTGAGCGATTTTTCTGAAAATGAAATATTTGTTTTCTAATTAATGTGATTGAGTGATTTAAGGTAAGGTTAATTAATTTAGATTTGATCTTTAAAGATTGTTCGTGATTGATTCTACATTACTAAATAACTTGCGCCAGCATGGAAAGTTCTAATCTGTTCAGATTTCTTTCGTTGTGTGAGAGGGTGGCGCGAAAATAAACCGATGAAGTGGTGGGAAGGGACGAAAAAAAATCTACGAAAAAAACCAGCGAAGGTGAGAGAAGGTACCAAAAAAAACCAGCGAAGGTGGGAGAAGGTACCAAAAAAAATCATGGAAGGTGGGACGAAACAAAATCTGAAAACGAGACTACCAACTGCTCCATTAGGAATAGAGAAAATAGGAGGAGAGGTTATGAGGAAACGGAATGGAAAATCCAGGACCAGCAAGGAATCGCAGAAGCAAAGCAGACAGAGGATCCAACAAAGGAAGAAAGCAAAATCTCAGAAGCAGTACTTTCCCGTGAAAACGACGGCAGATTGGCCACATGCATGACATGAGAGCAACCGGGGTGCTACAGGGCCGATCCGTCCGGTGTGCCGCGGCCACCCACCGCCCGATCCCCGGCAGACACGGCCGCGGCCGTCAGACCACGGGGGACCTTGACCTGGTCCCCTCGCTGGCCGCGAGATCTGCCCGTGCCAGGGCTTCTACATGCGCCCCGGATACGCTATTGAATGCGGCAGATCCCCCCCGACCCGACTCGTGACCGCCCTTTGAAAAAAACAAGTCGGAAGTCGGAGAAGCGCGACCACGTCATGTGCCAAACATTCTGGCACGCACGCACTCTGCGAGGCCGGCCCGGGTTGGGTCGGTCAGGCGCCGACGCATACATTAATTCAGCTCCAAACAACACCATTCGCTCAAAAAAAAAACCATGAAAAAAAGGAGCCTTCTTGTACTGACCTGATAATTATACTAGCGAGCAGCTCATTCTTCAGAGAAAAAGAAATGGAGCTTTTGAGCACGCCCCGATCATATGGCCATGGCATTATCTTAGAATAAAAGACCATAACGCCCACATGCACAACGTACCAGACGCCCGACTTTCCGTTTTGGTAGGCAGCCCTGCACTCGTGACCGTTTTACCACCACGCCATTACCAACCGTGACCGCCAGAACTCCTACTCACATGCACAGTACTACTACTCCCTCCCTCCAAAAATACTTGTCATCAAAATAAACAAAAAGGGATGTATCTAAACTAAAATACATCTAGATACGTCCCCTTTTATTCATTTTGATGACAAGTATTTCCAGACGGAGGGAGTACTAGCGATTTGGTAGTGGAACATCTTCTACTAAGATTAAGATGAAGGGTGTGGCAAAGCTTAGCCAGCAGGAACAGTGGCGTGGGACTATTATTGTGGCTGCTATATGATATTGTCCTCCCGAGAAAAGGCGAAGGACGGGTGAGTAGAGTGATGCGAAAAAGCGCACCCGGGCGACGACAAGCATGGGGGAGCAAAAGGACCACGGGAGATCTCCCTCAAAGATATTACGGAATGGATGGAATCTCGCAACACTACGCTGCCAACAGCCCAGGGGCTCAGCCCAGCCCTCCTTCTCTACCACCCTCTGCCTCTTGTTGCCTTCAGAGGACGGGAGGAGGACGGAGCGGGAGCGGGAGCGGGAGCGGGAGCTGGATAGACAAGTACTAGTACGTACATGCATGGGGGAATTACTAGTAATCAGGGACGGGATGGGTTACCGGCGACGGCGGCGATGCCCGTGCCGCGGTAGCGCTCGACGAACATGTCCACGGCGTCCTTGAACACCCCGGGCCGCAGCAGGAGCGTCGTGATGTCGTTGAACATGATGCCTGCGATGCGACCCAACAAGCAAGTTTATGTCGGTCGTGCGCTGCGCTGCTGGATGGATCAAGAGTCAAGCAAACCAAGAGAGGGGAGGACCTACCTGGCTTGGGGAAGTGCGGGACGACGCGGATGGCGTCGGAGATGCCCTGCAGGCGGGGGTCGGCCAGCGCCACCACGGCGTCGTCGGCCTTGACGTCCGGCATGGCCGCAACGGCGTGGCCGTTCTCCTTGGCCTTGCCGTTGCCGTTGCCGGCCTCCATCACGGCGTCGCAATTGGCCTCCTCGCCCATCTCCGCTCAGTCACTCTGCACTCTGCGGCTGCGCTGGAGCTGGAGTGTGGAGCTCAACAAGTGAGTTAATGTTGCTTGCTGACGGGTGTGGCGTGCCGGTGCGGTGTATATATAGCAGGGAAAAGGAAAGGAGAAGAGAGAGGTTGCGGTTGCGGGGGGCGTTCCTTCCTTCATTATGATTATGACGACGAGTCATCCTTGGACTCGGAAACAAGCAGGCAGCGGACCACGGGGTCCTGTTCACAACGCATAGCCTGTGACCCTCCCGCGTAGGAGTAGACCCTATCTATAGCCTACCCACTGCCTACTTGTACGTGACAATGTGTGTGCCTGTGTGGGCGTCTGTGGGCGCGCGCGCGCCGCGTCGCTTTCCCGACCTACAGCCTCTGCCTCTCTCTTCCTCTCTCTAGAGTTTTCTTGCTTCTATTGGTGAGCAGTAGGTAGCCGTTTCAAACAGGTGGAGGGAGGAGTTACTCCACTTGGCACCGGCGCCGATTCCCACAGACGCGCGCACCATCTTTTGCTCTGCTTTTCACCCTTTCGTGTTTCGTCGCTCGGCCTCGGCATGGCACCACGTCCAAACACGCGCCCGGAGCGGAGCGGATCCGATGCCGGTGCCGGTGCCGGTGCCGCTGCATGCCCTGCCGCGCGCAGGATCAGCAGTGGGCAGCGGTACGGCGCCAGTTATGTCACCTTTATTTCGTCCAGGTATTCGGTGTACCGTGCCGCGAGCCCGTACCCTTGCTGCTGCTGCTGCTGCCCTGTGTGCATGTATGCAGTGTGCTCAGCCTCGACCTCTTCGCTCTCTTGGATCGCTCATGAATTCCTCGGTGTTGATTATGCGTTGTTGATGTTCTTGTGGAAAATTGCCGTGAATGGCAAAATCTCAAGAGGATGTTATCTTGAAGATAAAATCGGGCAAGATCATAGTCGCATCAGGAAAGTTGTAAGCGTGTTGTTGCTCCGAGAACAACCAAGACTAGGCATAGTGGAGAGTAACTTCAATAGTAACATACACATTATCCTAAGCTATGTTATTACCTTCATAGTAGGTAGTAACATAAGTGCGGTGTCATGCAAACCTTCATTTATTAGGTTATAGACTCATATTGTACTAGGATATATGATGTTACTGTTAGACTGTATTTACATATAGCTTCTGTATATGTCTTGTATATTGTATCGTACACCTTGGTGTACCCCTTATATATATGAGATAGCCACACCCTTAACGGGTGTCGTGCAGTTTCCCAAAACCCTAAGTTTTACATGGTATCAACCCTAACCGATCCTATGTCTTCCGCTGCTGCTGCCGCCGCCGCCTCCGCCACCGCGATCGCGCCCAACTCCGTCGCCGCCGTCGCGCCGGCTTCTGTCACGGCGCCTGCGTCGCCGTTCCTCTCCTCGCGTCCCCTGGTTTCGATCTACACCGGCCAATCTTCGATGGTAGGCGCCTCCTCGGATCAGCCACCGCCGTCGTCACCAGCCGCGCCTCCGCCGACCCTGGGGGATCCTTCGTACACCGGTCCGTGGATGGGATCGGCCACCTACGCCCCCCACGGGGCTGCTCCACTCCCGCCCGCAGGCCCCTACGGGGCGGTGCCCGTTCCCGCTGGATCGGCAGCCTACGGCCCGTACGGGGCTGCTCCACTCCCGCCCGCAGGCCCCTACGGGGCGGCGCCCGTCCCTGCCGGATCGGCGGCCTATGGCCCCTACGGGGCCGCTACTTCATCAACGGGCCACTACGGGGCGCCGCCCTACGCGCCCGCCGCGGCTGCATCTCCTGCCGCTGTTGCAGCGGCGCCCTACGCGCCCTATGCGCCTTCACCTGTCGCCGCGAACGCTGGGTCGGACAGGGCCCCGCCGCCGCCATTGCCCTACGGCGGCTACTATCCTCCGACCATGGCTGCATCTGGTGGATCATCTCACATGACCTACTACACGGCGCCTCCTCCTGCTGATCATGCCGTGGCCAGCACGCCGTTCTACTTCGCGCATCTGATCCCAGTGAAGCTTACGACGGACAATTATCTGTCATGGCGTGCACAGGTGTTGCCACTTCTCCGCAGTCGCTATCTGGAGGGCTACGTCGACGGTTCCTTGCCGTGTCCTCCACCACATCACCCGGCATACCATGCGTGGGTGGCTCAGGATCAGGCCATACTTTCGGCGATCCAGTCGTCGCTCACCGAGGCGGTGTCCTCCTTGGTTCTCTTCACTGCCACGTCCCAGGAGGCGTGGTCTGCCCTTCACACTAGCTTTGCATCTCAGCAGCAGGCTCGTGCTCACACTCTTCGTACGGAGCTGGGAGAGACCAAGCTTCTTGACCTCAGCATTACCGACTACTTCGGCAAGATGACGCGTCTCGCAGACACTCTAGCCTCCATTGGTCAACCGCTTCGCAAAGAGGACTTCACCACCTTCGTCATGAACGGTCTGGATGACGACTATGATAACCTTGCTGAGAACATCAATGGCCGTGATACTCCACTTGAACCCCGTGAGCTCTACGCCCGCCTCCTTGCCACAGAACAGCGCATCAAGTCCCGCCGTACCAATCCGAGTTTCATGGCTGCCAACGCTGCCACTCGTGGAAAAGGGAAGCCCTTCAAGTCAACTGCAGCGGGCAAAACAGCACCATTGACTTTGCAGGCTCCGCGGTCGCCTGCCGCAGCCCCTTTCCCCACGACCGGGGGTGGTCGTTCGTGTGCCTGCTGCCCTTCTTGTGGCGTTCAGTTCCCTTGTCAACTGTGCAACATCCCAGGTCATGTTGCTTCCCGCTGTCATCGCCGCTTCAAGCAGGACTTCCTCGGCGTCGGCAACAATGGCAAAGGCAACGAGAAACAAGCTGCCTTGGCCACTCATGAGCCTGCTCATCAAGCAGGCCACACTACATCATATCCCATTGATCCAACATGGTATATGGACACGGGCGCTACGAATCATTTGACGGGTGAGATGGGCAAACTCTCAGTTCAGGAGCCATACCGTGGTAATGATCAGGTTCACACCGCCAGTGGAGCAGGTATGCACATATCACATGTTGGTCAGGCCTCTCTTTTAACTCATAAACAGAAATCTCTCCATCTTCGTAATGTCCTTAGAGTTCCTTCTGCTACTCGTAGCCTATTGTCTGTTCATCAGCTTACTTGTGATAACAATGTTTTCATTGAGTTTCATCCTTTTTATTTTTTTATCAAGGATCGGGCCACGAGGGACATTCTGCTTAGAGGTCGCCTGCGCGATGGATTATATGCACTTGATCTGCCTTCTGCCCCTCGAGCACTCACTGGTGTCTGTATGTCGCCTACTCATTGGCATGCACGGCTCGGCCATCCTGCCACTCCCATAGTTCGTAGTGTTCTTCATCGTCATAGTCTTCCCGTTGTGTCCAATAAAGATGTTGCCACAGTCTGTGATGCCTGTCAACAAGGCAAGAGTCATCAGCTTTCGTTTTCTGATTCGAGTCGTGTCGTCAAAACTCCACTTGAGCTTATTTATTCTGATGTATGGGGGCATGCCCAAACTTCTGTGAGCGGTCATAATTATTATGTCAGTTTTATTGATGCTTATAGTCGGTTCACTTGGCTTTATCTTATCAAATGTAAATCCGATGTGTTTGATGTGTTCCTGCAATTTCAAGCTCATGTTGAGCGTCTTCTTAAGCATAAGATTATTCATGTTTAGTCAGATTGGGGGGGTGAATATCACAACCTCAATTCCTTTTTTAATAAGCTTGGAATTTCGCATCGCGTGTCTTGTCCTCATACACATCAGCAGAATGGCACGGCTGAACGTAAGCATCGTCACATTGTCGAAACCGGTCTCACCTTACTTGCTCATGCATCATCACCTTTTCATTTTTGGAGTGATGCTTTTTCTACTGCCTGTTTTCTCATAAATAGGCTTCCTACATGTCTCCTTGGGATGAAAACACCACTTGAACTATTGCTTAATGAGGTTCCAGATTATACTTTTCTCAAAGTTTTTGGTTGTGCATGCTGGCCTCATCTTCGTCCTTATAATAAGCACAAGCTCGAGTTTCGGTCCAAACTTTGTGTATTTCTTGGGTATAGCTCTCTTCACAAAGGGTACAAGTGTCTTCATATTCCATCCAACCGTGTCTACATCTCGCGTGATGTTGTGTTTGACGAGAGTGTATTCCCGTTCTCGTCTTTGTCCATAACTCCCACCCCTCCAGCCTCCTCCTTGCAATCCACCCCTCCACTGCCTGCTCAATTTGTTGATATTGCATATTCTCATGCGTTGTTGCCTAATCATGCTGCAGGAACGGGTCGTGGAGTTCTCCTGGAGTTGCTGGAGGAGCCGGAGCCATCAACTGCACCCGACGTGGCGAATGGCCTTGTGCATGCGCCATGCATGCCTGGACTGGGCGCCTCAGCGTCGGCTCCGTCCGTGCCGGCCTCTTCTGAGGTTGGGTCGGTTCCGCCTGGGCCGGCCTTGCCCGGGCTGGTCTCCCCTGCGCCGACCTCCCTCGAGCCGGTGATTCCATCTGGGCCGGCCTCCCCCGAGCTGGTGCTCCCATCTGGGCCGGCCTCTCCTGAGCCGGTGAGCTCGCCTGGGCTGGGCTGCCGCGCCTCGGTTGGCCTTGAGCCGACTGACTCGCCCATCCAGTCGAGTCTGTCGCCAGGGTCGGCCTCGTCCTCGCCTGTCGCCGCTGCATCGTCACCGGCTGCGTCGGATACTTCTTCATCGCCGGGGCCGTTGCCACTGGTTGCACCACCTGCGGCCGTTCCTCTTCGACCACATACTCGCAGTCGATCCGGTATTGTGTGTCCCAAGCAACGCAAAGATGGGACGGTCGCCTGGCTTGCGGCATGTGTTGCTCATGTCAAGGAAGATCCCTCGGCTGAACCGCGTCACTTCCAGGTTGCTCTCGGGATTCCTCATTGGCGTCAAGCTATGGAGCAAGAGTATCAGGCATTGTTGACAAATGGTACTTGGCAGCTTGTTCCTCCGGTCTCTGGTGTCAATGTCAT